CTGCCGGTAAGGACGCATCATTGGGGAGAAGGGACCTGAAAAACGTCCAAGTCTAGTTACATGGGAGCAAACGGAAACGGGACACTAAGACACCTAGGAGCACGCAGTAAAGCGCGAACATACGCTTGTGACCGGAGGGCGGCACTGTAAGACGCGATATACGCGGGTAGTCGGGGAGACACCGTAAGACGCGATATACGCTGGTTGTCGGGGAGACACCGTAAGACGCGATACGCTGGTGGTCGGGGAGACACCGTAAGGCGCGATATACGCTGGCGGTCGGGGAGACGCCGTAAGACGCGATACGCTGGTGGTCGGGGAGACACCGTAAGACGCGATACGCAGGTGATCGGGGAGACACCGTAAGTCGCGAACATAGGTCCCTCACTGGTACTTACACCTCGATAGGTTCGGGAATAACTCCAGTAGAGTTCGGGTAAAATTTAAATATAGGAAGGGCCTGCGTCAAGCTCGGACGTATCCATCACTGGCAGGGTGGATGCCATCGGCAGAGCGGCAGAGAACGTTATATGCGATACAATGGTAACCCAGTGACCGCAGTTAGTCGATGAACGGATCCACATCGCGGTGAGTCGGGTAATTTGGGGGACATTGTGCATTTGTTTATTTAGGTAGGCTGCGACGGCAGTTTAATACGAGGTGCCTCGGAAAGTTACGCCGTAAGACGCTAGTCCCGGTTCCAGGACGGTACGCGCCGTAAGTCGCGAATACGCAATAAAGCGGTGCCAGCCGTAATAAGGCGCGAAATATACGCTGTAAGTCGTCACGTCGTCATCATAGGGCAAGGACGCGGTAAGACGCGAATAACCGCAGGTGATCGGATAGAGATACCGTAAGTCGCGATTATACGCCGGTTATCGGGGGACGATACCGTAAGACGCGAATTATACGCTGTAAGTCGTCACTTAGTCGTTATAGGGCAAGGACGCTGTAAGACGCGAGTTATACGCCGTAAGTCGTCGGGAGATGCAGTAAGACGCGAGATAATACGTAGTAAGACGTGCTTTGTGATCCCAAATGTAGACCATCGATGAGTAGAAAGGGTCCATTAGGCGGAACGTGTAGAATTAATTGATGTGTGAGGGTTAACTCCGATAGGCAGAGTGGAAGTTCAAAGGTTCCAAGGGTACTCCAGAGCCGAGGTAATTTAGGACGTGGGATCAACTGCAGGGATAGGAAAAGGGGGAGGGAAGCGAGACGTCGCAGTTTGGCAATACGGACAAGTTTGAGTCAGATGAGTGAAAGTGTGTGAGACTGGATGAGTGTCTGCGGGAGCAATTGCGCTTAGGTGAATCAGTTCGACCACCTAGCACCCTTTTATTATCCTCAGGGATGGACCATGCCCGAGGGATCCAGAACAAACGCTTAACTGCCCCCTGTGTTTTTTGTGGCGGTGAAACCCAATGATGCAGTGCCTGTGTGTTCGCCAAGACTGACTTGCCTCAAATGGCCTCGCTAAATGCACTCCTCACCGAGGGCGGACGGCAGAGATAAAAGTCCGCACAGAGCCTACCCGCACTGGGGCACCACACCAACAGAGCCCAGGGCGACTGAGGAGAGAGGCCCCCCTACATAACGATATCGATACCGTCAGACGGCCAAGAAGAACGAGCTGAAATAAAAATATGAACGATAGGCTCATCCGTTTCTGTAACGTGCCCATACCTAAAATAAAGACACGGGACTATCAGTTGTGCCTAATGGATAAAAGCTGACCTTGATGACAGATGACCGCACCAGTCGTTTCCGGGAAGAGACCATCTTCTATAACGCGGCACCGTTTTCATGTCGCCGATTCGGCCCGTGTCCTTCAATCTGACCAAGGCCGAGGCAGTCCATGGAGGGTTTTTGTTGGCCGGGACCGGTGTCAGTGTACGTACCATGAATGGTGAGTCCTCTCTGCCCCTCAGCTGTGGTCGATGAAGGTTAAAGGGGAGGGGAGGGAAGTAAGGAGGGCATGGAGAAAGATGGGTAGGAATAAAGGGCGAGGAGCAATATGGAGGCATGGGGTCTGGTTAAGTGATGCGTTCCTTCAATATCGCAATAATGAAGCGAGGAGCGAGAACAGGATTGAATAGTGAAAAGCTGGACAGATGGGGATAGGATAGATGAGGATAGTAAGAGGAAGGGAAGACCGAGAGGGAGTATACTCAGTTGTGCCATGTGTTTGGTGTTATAGGGACAGGTAGGTGCGACTTTGATAAAAAAGTTGATCTTAGCTTGCGTGGTTTTATTTACCCATAGACAACAAGTCATGGATGCTTACCAACTAATCATTAACCATTATAAACACACATTTAAAATACCTACCATGTTGTACGATTTGCATGTATAATGCACGTATGATATGGTAAATTTCTACTTATCCTATTTGTATTCATTGACAGGCCATCCCGCCTTTTAAACGGTCGCCCCGGAGATGTATCGTGAATCAAGACTGGATGCCCACTGGGCAAACATCAGGTACAGGATACCTGATAGGAGTTAGAAAGGTCAAATATGTCAAGAGCTCGATGAGAACGGTTCCCTACAGGCCAAGTGGCCTCTAAATTCCGATCAAATTAAGGTAAGGTAAGGTAAGGAATTAAACGGTCGCCCCGGAGATTTGCGATGCCCTCATCGGCTACCTACCTGAACTTTAACCCTCGCCCGTAAACGGCGATCTGCCACCTTACCCATGCAGGGGGGGGGGGGGTTGGTGCGACCCCCCCCTTGGCGTTTGAAAACGAAGCGTCGTAGAGCTTAGCGGAAAAGACCAACGGATTGCTCTCGCCGAGATCTCGCGATTGGTGGTATATTTTTTGGTCCTAGGTCAACATTTGACCTACTTTTGACCGGTCAAAGGTCAAATTTTCGGAAAAATAGACTTTTTTCAACTTTCGGCGGCGATTGCGGCAAAACGGTGGGAGATATCGACTTGAAACCTTCACTATCGTGTTCCTTGATCAATTCTCTATCGTTTGGTATGTATTTTGTTTCCCTAGCTCTAAAAATGGCGCGTTGGGAGCGCCGGAAGTCGGCAAGATCACAGTCGGCGGCAGAAATTCGAAAAATCAAAATTTAAATTTTTGAAATCTGATTGTATTTTTGGATTTGGGAGGTCCATTTGCTCCCTATGGAAGCTAATATTGCTGCATATTCCCATTGAGGTGACAAGAATTAGCAAAATAGTGGTTCGGGCGCTTTTCAAAAATAGTACCGGACGCTGTTCCTCTTGTGACGTCATAGCTCCGTGACCTGACCTGACCCGGTCAAGTTTCTTATACCATATGATAGCTAATACTTGCCCCAACATGCATGGGAAGTTTCATCACGATCCATCAACCGATCTCCGTAGGGGAGAGCGGGGAGAGTTGTATCATGTCCAAGTTGTATCAGGGCGAATTGTGCCAAACTTATCCAATGGATGGCGCTCGCGACACGACCAGCCGACGAGGTTTTCCGGGCGCCATCTTTCCCTGTTCTGTCTTGTGGCTGAGTGGACGCGTCTCGAGGTGAGAGCCGATTTTATGTTTTTTTAATGTCATTCTAAAAAAATAAGTTGCAAGAAAATGTGTGTTTTGGGCATTTAGATGTGCACGAATTTGAAAGAGCTCCGTAGCGGTGGTGAGGGTAGGTTCTAAGGCTGCGTGAGTGAAAACGGATTTCTCCAGCTGTCCGCTGTTTTTTAGCACGAGGATGTTTTTCCAAGATGGCGGCTAGGTACAATGTTGTATCAGAGCCGGGTGGGGTATGTTGTAACATGTATGTATGTATGTATGTATGGGTATGTTGCTTTTGATCGCGAAAGCTAAGCCCTGGCTCGCGTTTGTAGGTAGCTAGTCAATGCTCGTTCCATTTCGGCACAATGTGTTGGCTTCTTTGCTCTTAACGGGCCACTTTTGCGTCTAGTCTGTTGATGTTTCGTTCGGATTGCATTGACCTAAGTTTTGTCTAATAAAGTGTAGCCTTTGAGCATACCTATACATTGTATTAACCCCATTTAATGTTGCTGTTATGTTTAAAACCAGTAGCAAGCACACTCCCTGAAACGTGAAATAGTGATACAAATTACCCCACCATGTGATACAACTCACCCAAGCCATGGGGCAAGTTGTATCAAAAACATTGTTCTATTCGGCAGACCGTAGAAGAAAAACTGGTAGAGGTAGCGGAAAAGTTACTTTGCACAAAAAAGCAGAAGAATCAAGGAAGGGGATAGTATAGAAATAATGAGTTTATCACGGATAGTTACGAGGTTATGGGTATCGGAGTAAAAACTGATACAACCCACCCCACTCTCCCCTACCACCGGCAGGAAACCTCGGGCGTTGGCACTCAGTTTGTGAAAATCCGGCCGGAGGCTGTTCCCTTTGTGACGTCATAACTCCGTGACCTGACATGACCCGGTCAAATTTTTTTTTTATCAAAAGATGCGCAAGGTTTGCCCCATAAGGTACCCAAAATTTGGCGGCGCTGCGCGCCGCCGTTTTTGCATTATTTCCGAAAAACCTCAGGGGGGGGGGGGTTGCACCAACCCCCCCCCTACATGGGCGAGGGTTAAAACCACCACTCCGCTAAGGGGAGCGTGATCACCTCACGGGTGAAGGTGCATTGGTCCAGCTATGAAAAAAAACTTGGATGAACAAGAAGGTTGGAGAGCTACTTTCAACTAAAACGTGTCGAGTTGAGAAAATGCGATCGGCAAAAGCTGCTAAACGAAAGCAACGTTCATATTCACGGGAGACTGTCAGCACTTCTCTATCGCAGCACACTCTGATCTAAAGTGATAGCCTTCGGCAAGTAGGTGGCGGTCGTGGTACAGATAAAGCAGACCTCACTCCTGAATCTCTGTCGGTATCGTTTCCCGTAGGCAATGGTCTCGTCATCGTCGACTTCGTAACCTCCGCTAGGTGGCAGGACCAAAATAGTTTTATTTTCATAGATGTCGCTACCTGCTGGACGATTGGCTTCTGGGGCGACGAGCTGCGCCAGTTTGTTTACAGCGTTGAGCGAGGCGGCAGGGAGGGTGGTCGATTGTGTAAGGTCGATTATATCAGGTTCGACTCTCAATTCAGCTATCTACGGGATCTCCAAGGTATTTCTTGGTTTCAAAGATATTTGGTTGAAACTATAGGTTTTCTTGTCGTAGCCCTTTCAAGTTTCAGCCATTTTTCTTCATTTTTGGTTCGTGATCCCCTGACTGGCATTTGTTCATTTCATTTGTTTATTTCGTTTTTTATCATAGCACTATCAATATCGTTGCTTGCCTTGCAATGAAGCATGAACGTAAGCAATGACCCTTCTATTTGCAGGATTTCGGAATTGCTAGGGCGAATAATTTGAATTGATATTTTTCACCCATTGTCTCATTTGCTCCCTCATTTGTCTTATTTCTCATTCATTTGACATTTCAATTTGTTCATTTATTCATTAACTCATTCCCATCCCATTCACACATCTGGCCTTGCCATTCATTCATTTCATTCATTCATTTGTTCATTCATTCATTCATTCATTTGTTCATTCATTCATTCATTCATTCATTCATTCATTCATTCATTCATTCATTAGCAAATTTATCAGTTATTCATTAAATCTAAAATCTTTCTTTATGAATGTCGTTAGTAAAAAAGTAAAAGCATTCAGTCACAAAGCACAAACCAGCACAAACACAAACCAGTAAATCTGGTAAAAGCACAAACCAGCGGAAGGACGATGACCGTCAAAGTATGACTGATCTGATTAAGGCTGTTTGTGGTGACAGCTCAAACTTAAAGATCGTTGAGGTTATCCGACTCGGCAAGAAAGATGAGACTCAAGCCCCACCCTCTGAAGCCTCTGCCTCTAGTAGTGCCACTCCTCGGCCGCGCCTGCTACTGGTGAAATTTGAGGCGAAAGAAGATGCAAACCGACTGTTCCAGAAGCGTTTTGAACTGAGGGATGCTGGGTTCTGACATGTCTACATCAATAGAGATATGAGCAAAGAAGAAAGAGAAAAGCAATACAAGCTGAGGGAAGAACTAAAAGCCAAAGGAAGGGACACACACAAAATCTTTCGGGGTAGTGTCGTCCCGAGAGGAGACTAGTGGTTCTGAAACCCCAAACACTGTATCCATTGGCAAGTGTGTTGTACTTGCTGAACGTCATAAAGTCTTGACTGTGAACAATAGCAGGAACTGTTTGGGAGAGGGCAGGAACAACAAACTAAAATGTATGTACACAAATATTGATGGATTGAATGCAATTAAGGGGTCAGAACTCAACATTACTTTGCAGCAAAAGGAATATGACATCATCTGTCTAACGGAAACAAAGCTATCAAGGGATTGTCTGCTCACACAATATGTTGACTGTGAAGACTTCCACATCTTTAGAAAGGATAGAAGCACTGGCCATGGTGGAGGAGTCTTGATCATGGTCAGAAATACAATAACTGCATCGGAACTGAAAGAAGATGGATGGGACAATGTTGAATCTATTGCCTGCCAACTCAGGTTTGGTACAAATTTCCTCAATGTTGCCTGTATGTACAGACCACCAGGGAGTCAACAAAGCTACAATGAACAGCTTATCAAATCAATGTGCATGGTAAGCAAAAAGAAGGATCAACAGGTTCTCATTTGTGGCGACTTCAACTTCAAAGAAATAAACTGGTCTGATAATGAAGTTGATGGTGGTGCAGGTAGTGAACAGTCCAAGTTTCTAGACGAGTGCTCTAACCTATATCTATATCAACATATTCGGAATTTCACAAGGATCAGAGGGAATGATCAACCATCGCTACTGGACCTTGTACTGACAAGAGATGAGTTAGAAATAACAAACATATTGCACATGGCACCAATTGGCTCTAGTGATCACTGTGTACTCTCTTTCTCATTTGAAATTGATATGAGACATCTCCCTGAAGCTGCCATGGAACTTGATCCCAAGAGAAATTTCCATAAAGGTGATTATGAAACTGCAAGAAACATGTTTGACCGAATAAATTGGGTTGATGAGCTATCAACTAAAGATGTGGAGGGAGCCTGGGATACTTTCCTAAATCACTATTGGGAAGTCATAAACCAAACTGTACCAGTATACCCACTTGTGAAAAACAAACGACACAAGAAGAAATGGGTGACTAATGAGGTTCTACGCCTTGTACGAATGAAAGAAAAGGCATGGACAAGACTTCGTGTGAACAAGAAATCAAAGAGGTTACGCCAACTCTACACCCAAGTGAGAAATGCTTCTACAAGTGCGGTGCGGAAAGCAAAGTACGACTTTGAAGCCAAGCTAGCGAGTGAGATCAAGGAAAACCCAAAAGCTTTCTATGCGTATGCACGTAGCAAGACAACTATAAAAGAAGACATTACGATGGTCAGGAAGTCAGATGGGCAACTTACCCGAAACCTAAAGGAGGCATGTGAAGAAATGAACGAACAGTTTCAAAAGGTTTTTAACACAACGTCTGACAGTCCACCTATCATCCAGTGTCTCAGCGAAAGAAAACTTACCGAGTGTAAATTTGATGTGGGTGAGGTTGTAAACATACTGCAACATTTAAAAACTCCATCAGCGCCTGGCCCTGATGGCGTCCACCCCATTGTCCTGAAAAACTGTTCAAGAAGTCTGGCCAAACCCATGCTGATTATCTTCCAGAAATCATTGGAAGATGGCAGACTTCCAAGAGACTGGACCAGAGCAAATGTATCACCGATATTCAAAAAAGGGAACCGTGAAGATCCTCTCAACTACCGTCCAATCAGCCTCACATCTGTCCCCTGCAAGGTGTTGGAGAAGCTTGTAAAGAAGAGGATAGTTGAACATCTAGAGACTAACACACTACTAAGTCAACACCAGCATGGGTTTCGCTCAAGGAAATCATGTCTCACCCAGCTGCTTGAATTTACGTATGACCTTGAAAATGCTCTTGATAAAGGATGCTGTGCGGATGCCATATATCTAGATTGCAGGAAGGCCTTTGATTCGGTCTCACACTGCCACCTCCTTGCCAAACTCAAAGCTGCTGGTATAGAGGGCCAGCTTGGAGTATGGATCAGCAGTTTCTTGAAGAATCGCGAACAGAGAGTATGCATCCGAGGCAGTCATTCTGGGTGGAGAACTGTGTGGAGTGGTGTCCCCCAGGGCAGTGTTCTCGGCCCTGTCTTGTTCCTGCTCTTTGTCAACGACCTTCTGGATAACTTGCAGTCCCCAGGAAAGTTATTTGCAGATGATGCGAAGATTTACAGGAGCATCAAGTCGTCGGATGACTGTTCCATCTTGCAGAATGACCTGGACAGCGTACAAGTTTGGAGTAAGACCTGGCTGCTAGACTTCAACAAGGAAAAGTGTAAGGTCATGCATTTTGGAGAGAAGAACTTGAATTATGCGTACACGATGGGACAAACTACCTTAGCCACTACCAAGAAGGAAAAGGACCTTGGAGTACTGATAACGCCGAACCTCAAACCATCCGAGCAAGTCGCCCAAGCGGCCTCTGTGGCAAACTCTATGCTGGGTAGAATAAGAAGGACTTTCTCCTGCCTTGACGAACACATACTTGTACCTATCTACAAAGCACTAGTGCGACCCAGGATGGAGTTTGCTGTCCAAGCATGGTGTCCGTATCTACAGAAGGACATACTCAAGCTAGAGAAAGTTCAAAGAAGGGCAACCAAACTAATACCGTCCATAGCTGACCTACCCTACGAAGACCGTCTCAAGAGGCTCCATCTCACTACTCTACAAGAAAGAAGAGTCAGAGGTGACATGATAGAAGTCTTCAAAATTGTCAAGGGCTTTGATGTGGTGAAAGCTGGTGATAAGTTTCTTCAAATGGACGCTGGACCACGCAGCGACAGGACTCGCGGCCACTCACTCAAACTCGCCAAGCCAAGACACAGAACCCTCAAGAGAACCATGTTCTTCTCATCACGAGTTGTTGACCACTGGAATAGTTTGCCTCAAGAAGTGGTAGAAAGTCCCAGCATCAGTTCATTCAAAATCAGATACGACCAATACATGAATAGACAGTGAGAGAGGCAGCATCCCATGAGCCCAGCTCCCTTGCCTCTTATCCTACATTCTAGGTAAGAACATTCTAGGTAGGTAAGTCAGTATTTGTATAGGACAATTGATTTCTTTTAAACTTGTAACTCTTGATTGAAGAATCCTCTGTTTTGCAGTTCCAACGATGGAGACTCCAACAATCATATGCAAGGCCCTGAAGGAACAGGTAAATTGTGCTTCCATTGAGGTGCATGATCCAGAATGATGGTCATACCAACCAAATAAGGTGTGGTTGGGTAGTCTGTATGATCATTATCAATTGGCATATTGCATTTTATTGCACTACAGTGCAAAGAAAAGAATAAAGATCGCATGATCAATTATCTATTTGACTATTAGATCCTTGTCTATTATTTACCAATCCCATCCCTCCATGACATGTAGTTTCTGTTTTAGATCTCAAAATTTCAAGACAATAAGATTTGAAAGTTTGTCTTATACCTTCTATAACCCAGATAAGCCATAAGGTTTTAGGCTGTAAGTGTGATTTTGTATAGCTTTTCGCTGACTGTACTTAACTCCACAGGGCGTGCAGTACATGTTTGGAGTGGTTGGAGTTCCTGTGGTGGAGGTGGCCATTGCAGCGCAGCAGGAGGGCCTCCATTACATTGGCGAGTACCATTATAGATGTCAATTGGGGAGTAGAGACATGCTGAGATCTCAGCATATGTACATCAGTCGATGTTTGACAATGAGGCACTCTTTGCTCGATCCTGTAAAGGCTTTGACTGGGCCCATGGCTGTGGCCCTGAACCCTAATCCTGATATGGGATGCCCGTCAGTGCCAGTGTCAACTGACACTGGAAAGTGGCACCCAGCCACCCAGTTCAACTCTTTTCACAAACACCGACACTGGCACAGATATCAGCACCGGTCTAATATTTGACGGTCATGGTTGGGTGTCGAAAGTAGCTTTTTAGGAATGTGTGTAATGGGTGTTCGTTCTCATAGGTTTGATTGCGTAGTTTAAACGGCCAGAAAGAAACGGTTACGAACAGCGGTACATATGTACACGTAGCTATAGTCGCGTACATTTCCTATTCCTATGGAACTGAGCATCTGCAGTCTTTTATTACGGTCATCATCGAATGTCCGCCGCATCATATCCGATCAGATGGACTGATTACAGTTGGTTTTGATATGAATAAAAAAAACTGTGTTAGGCGCGGTAGTGCTAATCGATTTTATATGAGCAGGCTCAGTGTCATTTCAGTGTTCAAATGCTCGTTTTCGTCAATGAGTCGCCTATTTCTTCGGTGGACTAGGTCAGGTTTATTGGCCTAGGACTGCCGTCTCCCCACTTGCTGATAAACTGATAGCGGCCGGCCGGTCTCGAGTGGAAACCACCATGGGCACCTGGTAACGGGCAAAGTCGTCACGGCTGAGACTTGACTGAAACGCTATCGGATTTTGAAGATGGAGTTTCTCTAGTGTGATGCTCATGTTGCTGATAAGATGATGTTTTTAGACTCAGCATTCGGCTCAGCATTGAACGAATCCAAAGCAGGTGGTCAAACTTGCAACTGACCGACACCTTGTAACTGGTCTCATTTGGGGTTCGGGAAACCCCTCTGACGCATGTCACCATGTCACTTGACACTACGAGTCAATTGCCAACCTGTTTAACCGTCTCGTCACCGACAGGGATGCGTAACGAGCAGTCTGCGGCGTACGCGGCCCAGGCGGTGGGCTACCTGACGCAGCGGCCGGCCGTCTGCCTAGCCGTCTCCGGACCGGGGGGTGCTGCATGCCATTGGTGGCATGGCCAACGCTAGCGTCAACTGCTGGTCAGTCGGGACTCGGGAGGGCTTCAGGACACAGTTATTTACCGGGAGGGCTGACAGAAAACGATTCATAGCTGGAGCCTGGAACCATAGGCGCGGGAGCCGGGGGGGGGGCAGTGGGGGCAGCTTGCCCCCCCCCCCCAACTCTGGGGCCGTGGGCCGTGGGGTGCCCCCACAGCTTTGAGACGGAATACCACACTCTTTTTGCAAATGTTTTCTTTTTTGTTGAAAAAGCCGAGGGGTGAAAAAATAAGTGGCCTAAAACCGGTGAGAAAACTAGATTTGGGGGTACCCTAGGGCCCTGTTTCACCGGTGATAGCAGCACGCTACTATCAAATTGCGCGAGCTGACGTAATGTGATGAGGTCACACTAATGACGTTTGGTGTAATCCGTCGGAGCTGCGTTTGGAACAGAGTTGCTGTCTCGTTGAATTGCGTTTGATACATTTGTCTGATCGCAAGGCCGTGAAGACGTTAGCAGCAATATTTGATGACATCACACAGTTTGACGACGCCAGGTTTGTCGATGATTCCATGGAAACCCAATTTGACACGTGTGATAGCAGCGTGCTGCTATCACCGGTGAAACAGGGCCTAGGTTAATCTTGATCTCTATTATGGTGTGCCCCCCCCCCCCCCAGTCGGAAAGTAGTTCCCGCGCCCCTGCCTGGAACTGTAGAAAAGAATGAACTGTGGGTGATGTTAGGTGAGTTAGTTATGGTTGAGTGGAGCTTTTGACTTGTCATGAATAATTTGTCACAATTATTTATAAGGGTTTTAGGTTTGAGCCAGCTCTGTCTCTAACTGCACGTCGTTTTCGGTCGGTCATAACCCACGTTCTGTTTTTCAGGCCGCTGATTGTTATAGGCGGCGCTAGTGATGCGCCGCTAGAGGGCACTGGCGCCTTCCAGGAGTGGCCCCAGGTGGAGGCGTGTCGCCCCTACTGCAAGTACGCGGCCCGTCCGCCGTCGGCTGAACTGGTGCCCTACCATGTGATGAAGGCAGTGAAGGAGGCCACATACGGACGGCCAGGTAGGCGGACGAGACGCGAACAGACTAACGGACCCTGGGGCCTGGAGTAACTCCAGTGAATCGCTAGGGAGGCTGAGGTCAGATGGTTACCTAGAGTATTTGGTGGATCTTTTTGGCTATGGCTGGTAAGTGCTTCAAGACGAAGTGTTTTGAGTGTGTCTTATCATTCTTGTTTGACTGTCGCTTAAACCATTTCATATTTGAATGCGATTGGAAATATCATCTGGACAAACTTTTTTCCATTTTAAGTTCCAATTCTTAGGGAGCTGGCCTTTGGGTCATCTCTGTTTGCACCGATATCCCAGCATTCACACAGTTTATCTAACACCCCTGACTGTCTCCCCTTCCGGTCCACCAGGCGCCGCGTACCTGGATTTCCCCGGCGACCTCCTGCAGTCCTGTGTGCCGGAGTCGGAGGTTCAGTGGTGCCCGCCGCTGGCGCCCCCTCCTCGCGCCCTGGCCGAGCCGAGCCAGGTGACGGCGGCGGTCGGACTGCTCCGGGGAGCGGCCAGACCCCTGGTGGTCGTCGGAAAAGGTACGGAAGGGGAGGAAGGGATGGTTGGGGAATTGGTTTCGACTGGAGAGTCTGTAGGAACGTTGAGCAGGCAATTTAAGGTTTGTCAAAGCTGTTTTTGCCATACACAGGCAGTTAAGGACAGTGTGTATATTTAAGAATGGTTTGTAAAGATGGTTGTCTTGAAGAAGGACTTAAAAGAAAAAATATTCATCGCATATTCTGTTGCAATCGAGTCTGCTGTCGATTTACAAGTTAAAAATTGAAGACGACATTACATTCTTCTCAGCCATAACGTCATCACTTACCATCTTTCACCCCCCCCCCCCCCCCCGTTCAGGCGCCGCGTACGGCCGTGCCGAGTCGGAGGTGCGCCGACTGGTGGAGCGCTCCGGTCTACCGTTCCTGCCCACCCCCATGGGGAAGGGCGTGCTGCCTGACGACCACCCGCAGTGTGTCTCCGCTGCCAGGTGGGTGTTCAATCAACTCTCTTTAGGCCGTGTCCTGAGGATCCCAGTAGAAGAGAATTGCATACTAATTTTAGCATAATGTATTAGTTTTGTAGAGTCAAGGAAATCGATTGATCGATATGCACTGATGAATGATATCGATAAAACAATAACTTATCTGAAACCAACCGAACCTGTTAGGTTTCTGCGTCAACCAATAACCCTTATCTTTACTATTTTGTCCGTGGTTATATAGAGATAATTTACACATCCGTTAATTCCGGTTTCATATATGAGAACATTGTATTTAATCCCTTGACTTCGTCTCACTGTTCTCTCTCCTATCATCATCCACGCCGCCAAGCCCGACGTGCCATTATTTGACCTCTGTCCATCCCCCCACCCACCCTCTCCCTCCCAGGTCCCTGGCGCTGGGCGAGGCGGACGTGGTGCTCCTGCTGGGAGCCCGGCTCAACTGGATGCTGCACTTCGGGCGACCGCCGCGGTTCGGCGCCCAGTGCCGCTTCATACAGGTGACAGCACTTTGCAGGTTGGGGTTTAAATGGCGAGAGAGGAGGAAGACAGTGTGAAGTGTTTCACCAGGGTTTAAGGAACTTTCTGGTACTGTTTATGAAACCCCGGGCCTTTGAACTCCAGACCAAGACTGCATGTGTGCTTTCACTCTCAGAAGGAATATATGGGATGCTAAGATTTAATTGTCAAGTATGCCACTCCCGTTAATCTCGGTATCAAAAACTAGCTCTGGCAGTGAAATTTATGTTTTCAAGTTGATTTTGTGGAAACATTTCTTTTAGAAGAATCATGGCGGTTGATTGTCTCTTTACCATTAAAAGCCCTATTCTCCATCTTCTAATGCCCTTCAACAACGCAGAACGGTTGAACATGCTCTCTTCTCCCTTCCTTAGGTGGACATTTCCCCGGAGGAGTTCCACAACAGCGTGCCGGCGTCGGTGACCCTGCTGGGCCAGGTGGCTGAGGTCACAGGTCAGCTGGCGGAGGCCTGGGGTCAGTCGGGACCGGCCGGCGCTGACCCCGGCCGGCTCGGCACCTGGTGGCAGCGACTGCGAGAGAAGGCGGCCGCCAACCAGCTGGGTGTGAAGGTAAATGATGAAAGCTGAGGAACGATTCATGTTACGAGCTCCGATTCATGTTCGTTTTGGGATCGCTTGGTGCGAAGATTGCATAGATTAGCAAAAATCTACCCTCATGTCAAAAACGCTTCATTTTCGAATGACTAATGCGTTGCATGACTTGCTGTAATTTCAGTCCTTAGTTCTGTCGCATTATCTCCCGCTGTGTTATTTGAGTTCCATAATTTTGTCTCGTCTGTCCAGCTGTGTTCTCGGTCCCAGATTTCTGACACGTCAGTTCCGCTTTGTTATTTCAATGGCAGATTTCTAACACGTCTGTTCCATTGTGTGATATTTCAGTCGCAGATTGCTGACACCTCTGTCCCGCTCAACTACTATGCGACTCTGCAGTGTGTCCAGGACAACATCCCCAAAGGTAACGCATCGAATACGTCGCTCGTGTTGTAGCAGGGCCTTAAACCCGAGGTGCCTACGAGAACCGGGTTGATCGCTGTGATCGCTGTTTACCCATTGTGTTTGCTGATCAATCGTTTTGAAATGAATGATTGTCCAAGTTCACGTGGACGTGACACACCCCTCCCTATGTCGCTCACGTCCCTTTCCCTCCCCAGACAGCATCATCGTCAGCGAGGGCGCCAACACGATGGACATCGGCCGCACGCTGCTGCTGAACCGCCAGCCGCGCCACCGACTCGACGCCGGCACCTTCGGAACCATGGGCGTCGGACTGGGCTTCGCCGTCGCTGCTGCCATCTATTGTCGTCAGGAGAAACTAGCCGAGAGGGTGATTTGCGTGGAGGGAGACTCTGCGTTTGGTTTCAGCGGAATGGAGGTGGAGACCATGTTTAGGTGAGTGATAAAAAGAGGGAATCAGCGGAGGGCGGAGGGAAGTGGTTTGGGGATGGCAACGGTAGTATAGCTGGGTAAAATTCACCTTATTTGATCGTGACGTATAGCCGTTCCCACTGGGCTTGGGGCTGGAGATATGTCGGTAAATGAGTATCGGGTGTGTTTTGTTAATGTTTACTGTATTACTTACTACCTTGCTGTACTGATCCATTACCTCTACCCAGACTTGTCCCGATCGCCTCTCACTCTCGCCTCTCTGTCGCGTTTCAGGTACCGTCTTCCGATCATCGTCATTGTCATCAACAACAACGGCATCTACTCGGGCCTGAACCGGCCTCTGTGGGACGACCTCACCGCCGAGACATCCGGGTCAATCAGGTCGGTACTGGGGTCAGGTGGGGTCAAGGCAGGTCGCATAGGCTAGACAGGTCAGCATATGTCCAGGACAGGTCACCACTACATCAGCCAACCGAGATGGCGAGAATAGCAGGTCAGCACCCACTGCACACAGATGACGTCATTTATCTGTTACAACTGTTCACATATGACGTCATTTACCCATCAGCTCGCCACCCACGGCGCTGCTGCCGGACAGCCGGTACGACCGTATGACGTCACTGTTCGAGGGAGAGACTAGTCCGTCGGGCTGGAACTGCACCACCATCCCGCAGTTGAAGACGGCGCTGGAGGCGGCGCTCCAGGTAACTGGCGCGCCTGAAAAATGGCGGGAAATGGGCCGTGATGGTACTGATTCCAGTGAGGTATTTGTCAGAGTTGAGAAATCGTGTTCGTTAAATTAAATTTGAATGTAGCTAATTCCGCATGAAATAGTTTTCGTACGAGAAAACATATGACTTCGGTTCCAAAGGATGTCTGAAAAATGTCATGCAGTATCGTATGATTATTTGCTCTAGGATTCTTGATGACCGCAAAATATTCCCTCTCATTAAACAGCTTCTTTTTACTTTGATTCATGTTGGAAGCTATTGATTTTACTGGTTGCGTGCTTCGCCTCTTCTCTACCGATGGACAACCTTCTCCCTCCAGCTCTTGAAAACTACGACGCTTTTGACCTTCGTAAATGGGCCTTTCACTGTTAAGTGCAGCTGTAGACCGACCACATAAATTCCCAAGTGTTTGGTCGTTATGCATTGTAACGCCTTCCATCTGTGTTTGGGCAAAATCCTTGTATGATGCTGTTTGCGCATTGTAGGTTTCATGTCCTGAAGTACTTACCCACCTTTACTCGTATGTATCCATCATTGGAGTGTGTCTAATCATGTTCACAATGTCAAAACGCTCGTGTTTGCCGCACATAAACCACCATCATTATATGCAACAACTGCCTTTGTACATCTATTTATGACATCTCTAACAGCAACGAAACTTTATGTGTTATGACTGTCCCAACATGGCGTCTTTCCGTAAACACTGCTCAACCACCTAACGACTCGGTTAATCACCATCGTTAATTCGCCGGGTCAGTGAATCTCCCAATATGACGTCGGTGACGCAGCGACTGACGTGGCCGGCAGGTGACGAATCGACCCACCATCATCAACGTCATGATCGACCCCATGTCGACGCGGAGGCCGCAGGCACACGACTGGCTCACGCGCGCCAAAATGTAAGACTCGCGCCACGAATGGGTCGCACGCGCCAAAATGTAAGCGGCGCCAATATGAGGTGCCATTGATTCGCGCCACAACAGGTTGAACCGCGCCAAAACGTAATACCGGCGCGGGTGGAGGCGCAAAAATCGTTGTTCGAGTCGCATCTGGGGAGTGATTAGTCAAATGGGGCTACGGTGTGCGATTTGAATCGAGCTGAGGTAGTATGCTGATGAGCAGACTTCAGTTGCTCAGGTGCTAAATATGTGATCGATCCTGGGTAAAGATGCAATATTTTTAGAAATGATTATATTGTTATGTAGAATAGTTATTCGAAAGCGATTAGCTTTGATGTGCTTCCAGGAAAATATGCCTGATTTGTGCTATGACTGCGTGCTCAATTTAGATGTGTGAGTAACGGAGAGCGAATGTCCTTGCTCGAGGCTCTTCGTGAAGGGACTCGATCAGTCTCAATCTCTACTGCCCCACAAGTATACATTATGCAGTGCCATTTGCGCTTGCTGTGGGTCCAAAGAAAGTGAAGTAGCCAACTCAGTGCGTTGAAGTCCTACAAAACTCGATTCCAGACCACTGTTGTGTTTGTATATAGGCCCCCCCCGAGGCCCCCTACTTGGACCGCCTCTGCGACCCCACGGTGCCAGGTGCCTGTGAGCGCCCCTGCCGGCGCCAGCTGACCGTGCGCGCCAAGCGGCGTGACTGGCGCACGGGACGTGGGCTGGCGCTCGCCATACTTTTTTACGTTTCGATCTCTCTCTCGGCCCATTCGCACCGGTCTAAAATAAATCGCGTTGATATTCATAAGCTCTTTCACTTCGAACCGATAAACGACAACTAAACATGGCGCGGTCGGTTTTGTGAATTACTACGTGATTGAGCATACCGCGATGACTATCATTCAAGAACTGACGGCACTGCTGGAGAGGCAAGTGAAGAGAGCCGCCGACGCCGACAAGCGCCTGGAGCGCTTGGAGAGGCTGCTAACCAGGGAGCCCTCCGCGGGGACGGACGCGACGACCGGAGTGTCAGAGTCGGGGGCTGAGCGAGGCGCTGATGGATCCGTTGGACCAGCTGCCGCTGCCCGCCGGACTGTCTGCCTGCCGGTGTCGGCGACCCCGCCCGCGCAACCGAAGTCGGCATCGACGTGCAACGGCCGTGCCGAGTGCAGTGTTCACGACAGTGATTTAGGAGCGGTGAGCCGCAGGCTGGAGGACTTTGAGCTGACGCTCAAATACGCCGTGAACGTTTGTCGGGCGAGCGATGGTGCCCGTGTCACGTGCCCAGACCTCCGCGGCAACGAGGGACATTCCGCGGCGCGCCTGCCGGCCTACAAGAGGCGCAGGCGGCCGAGTGTCGCCCATTCCGCTACCGCCACAGATCATCAGTTTCTTGAGCGTTGCCCTACCTGTGGCCGTCGCCAGCACGCCGGCGGAGACACGTGTCGCGCCGCTGGCGCCATCTGTCGTGCGTGTGGCGAACCGGGGCATTTTGAGATTGTGTGCCACCAGAGGAGCTCCACGGCGGTCGCCGGGAGCCGCGTCACCGCTGCTGACGGTGCTGCAGTGCCTGGAGACCCTGCCCGTGGTTCACCAGCTCGCAGTGGCCAGCGAGAGCAGCACGAGCGGGACGCACAGCGAGTGAAGAACGGACACCTCAGCAGTAGCGGCACCCGCCCGACGGCTGATCGTCCCGTGGCGACATCTGCAGCGACGAAAGTACGCGACTCACCGGTGGTGGCGCCAGTAACGGTAGCCACCGGCACCGCCGTGTTGCCGCCGCCGGCGGACACGGGCCAAGCCGGGCAAACTGCACTTCACCCCGCCGAGCTGAGTGACGCTGCTGAGGTCCACGGAGCCTGCCCGCCGCCGGCGGGAGGCTGGCCAGCGCAGACCATGGACGGCGAGGCAGCCCCTGACAACGCCGTGTCATCGCCGCAGGCGGACACGGGCCGCACCGGCAGTCCTGCAGCGCAGCCGACTGAGCCGGTCGGAGCTACCGCATCCTACGGAGCCTCACCGCCGCCGGCCGGAGGCATCCCAACTTGGAGCACGGACCGAGTGTACCGAGCCTCGCCGCCGCCGGCGGGAGGCCCATCGGCAGCCACCGGCGCCGCCGTGTCGTTGCCGCCGGCAGACACGGGCCGAGGAGCCGGCCGTACCGCGGCGCAGCCCACCGAGCCGGCTGGCGCGCGCGGAGCCTGCCCGCCGCCGGCGGGAGGCTGGCCGGCGCAGACCACGGACCGAGAGGCAGTCCCTGATAACGCCGTGTCACCGCCGCAGGCGGACACGGACCGAGCTGGGTGTACCGCGGCGCAGTCTACAGAGCCGGCTGGCGCCCACGGAGCTTCGCCGTCGCCGACGGGAAGCCTTCCAACGCGGACCAGCTACGGACACGGAACCGCCGACAACGCCGTGTCACAGCCGCCGGCGGACACGGGCCGAGTCGGGCGTAACGCGGCGCTGTCTACGGAGCCGGACGGAGCTACTAGAGCGTACAGAGCCTCGCCGCCGCCGGCGGGAGGTCTACAAACGCGGACCGGCGACGGAAACAAAACCGCTGGTGACGCCGTGTTGCCGCCGCCGGCGGACACGGGCCAGCCCGGGGCCACTGCGGTGCAGCCCGCAGGCCCGGCCGGAGCCGCTGAAGCCTACGGAGCCTCGCCGCCGCCGGTGGGGGGCATCCCAACGCCGAGCACGGGCCAAGGTGCAGCGGCCGGCCCCGCCGTGTCGTCGCCGCCGGCGGACACCGGCCAGATTGAGTCCACCGCAGGGCAGTCTAGCGGGCCAGCCGACACCCACGGGGCCTCGCCGCCGCCGGCGGGAGGCCTACAAACGCTGAGCACGGGCCCAGGTGCAGCTGCCGGCCCCGCCGTGTCACCGCCGCCGACGGACACGGGCCAAACCGACTGTTCCGTGACACAGCCCACCGTACCCGGTGAGACTGATGACGCCTACGGAGCCTCGCCGCCGCTGGTGGGAAGCCCGCCGACGCAAAGCAGGGACAGAGAAGAGGTCGTCAGTGACGCCGTGTCGCCGCCGCAGGCGGACATGGGACAGACCGACTGTGCTGAGGATGACGCGGGTCTGGCGCCGCTCGTGGGCCCGGTTCAGGGGATGGCCGGAGACGCCGCTGGCTGTGATCCGTGGCCGCCACCCGACACCGGAGCGCCGCCTACCGGTGACCTCTCGGGCGACAACGGGCGCGCCCGCTGCGGACGCCGGAACAAGCGCCCGCCGCCATGGGTCGCAGCAGTCGTGTGTGCCAGCCCCGATCGTCTGTTCGTTCGTTGGGGTGCGACCTCGTATGAGGAGTGAGACAACGTCGTGCAGTGTTGTGTTTTTGGCGGTTTCACGACTGTTGTCTCGAGGGGAGATGTTGTGTTTGTATATAGGCCCCCCCGAGGCCCCTACTTGGACCGCCTCTGCGACCCCACGGTGCCAGGTGCCTGTGAGCGCCCCTGCCGGCGCCAGCTGACCGTGCGCGCCAAGCGGCGTGACTGGCGCACGGGACGTGGGCTGGCGCTCGCCATACTTTTTTACGTTTCGATCTCTCTCTCGGCCCATTCGCACCGGTCTAAAATAAATCGCGTTGATATTCATAAGCTCTTTCACTTCGAACCGATAAACGACAACTAAACAACCACGAGAAGCGACAACAACGTCCGACGTTAGCAGATATGGACGCCTCAACCGGGATACGTTGACGTTGCAATATTTACTAGTGTTCTATGGACCACTGTCTACTGAAGATTCAAAACACTGCTTCCTTGGTTGACTGGTTGAAAGTTATGGTAAAAACTATTTACCGTTGGGCTATTTTTTAATGGATTGTGGAAGGCGCCATTCGCATTAAGACACAATAAAATACTGTTTTACATGCTAATAATTGATAATTTTACCGCTCGGATGGGTAAGAGAGATTACATTTTTGACGTCATCTGCCAGTAACATTGCGTAGTACGTTGTATCCGATAAAACTGAACTGCTATCTGTTGTTCAATACATTCAGACATGTCTCCATTTTGCTTCTGTGTCTATAAGCCTCTCTAAAGAAGGATAAAACGCTGGGCTGTATTGTGTGCTATCAGGGCACTAAAGGCCCGATTTACTGACCGTATTTGTTATCCGGCCGGGAGCCAGTTTTGACTAGTGAGGCGCCGCGGTTCCTGATATCGACCACCAGGGCAGCTATTATTTTATGTGTATCGTCTATACACATCCCATATAAAAGCCCCTATTGTAGATCTAAGTGCGTGCGCTCATATGCATAGCTCCATGACAGCTCATAGAAACCGCCCCATCGATCTCCGGTTAGCTGCGCTGTATGACGAGACGTTACGGACATCATGCGTGCGTTACTGACGTCAGACTGTGTTCCCAACAGCAGACTGTGTGTTCCCAACATCAGACTGTGTTCCCAACATCAGACTGTTCCCAATGCCAGTGTGTATTCCCAAAGTCAAGCCGTCTGCTACCCCCAGAGACGGCACTCTGGGAGCGGAGTGAGTAGCCGTATTGATCGCGTCCGTTTGACGCCTCCTCCCGTCGCCGCCTGCTGGTCAGCTGTACTTACCGGCCGTCACCTCTAACAGCCTAACAGGCCCTTCTTCAGTGGCTCGGAATGTGTCTGCCCTGGGAATGTATCAGCACTGGGAATGGACAGAGGTGGAACTGACAATAGGCGACCCATTGTGCGCTGATGGTGAATTGTCATTTGTCACGTATGAATTGGCACGTGGCTGGCAGTAACATGGCATTGACGAGTCGGACACGAAAGGCAATTGTGGCGACGCTGTTGACCTTACCATCATCGCATATAATTAACCCGTGTCCCTCTGAGGGCCCTACTTTTCATGTCATCGAGTGTAAGATCGGTAAACACTCTTTCGCTCGCCTCTTAGGCTACAAGCGATGAACTTTAAAAGGCAGTCGATGATGTGCTCTCCCCTCTCCCTCCAGCGGCTGCGCCCCAACCTTTGCGTCATGGAATTGTACCCGAAATGGATTCAATCTCACCAAGTTCCTTTCCCAGACATCGCCCAACTGTAGTTGAACTATCGTAAGTCAGCAACAACTATACGCCATGTATGAGTACTGTGCATTATTTCATCAAGCTTAGACCAGCCAGGCATATGTGAACAAAGCCAAACGGTTTGCGGGAAAAGACTTATTAGCTAAAGTGAACGGGCAGGTCGCGTACCCTCTTTGAAGCCAAGCCATTAAATGACACTTCACCCTTCCCTGCCTTTTGAATCAAGCGAACGAGTTAGGACAGGACACTCCCGAACGCGAAGCTGGTGACCAAAGGCAAAATTTATCGACGAACTAACGTTAGCATAGAACTTTGAGAAACATCATGTATGTTCCCGCTATAGAATTAATTCGTGACTTGACGACTGAAGGTGTGGATGGCAGACTGGAAGCACTGAGGAGTGCGAGGAGCTGTATTGATTGAGCTCGTCTGACGCGTCCTCGCACACATTATCTGTTGTTGGATTAGTTGTTGTACAGTCGTGTCCCCCTCCCCTCCGCTCCACTATTTGTGGTTTACAGTTACCGTCAAACCATGGATGAGATAATAACCCATGTTATCTCATCCATGGATGTGTTATCCATGGTCAAACCTTACAACTATAGTGAAGGAAGCTTGTGTATTTCATGCTTTATCACTTCAAAACTAAGGATTACTTATGCAAGCATTGGTGACCTAGTAATAACCTAGAATCACTGAGCGAAAATATGTTCACCGTAGGATAAAATATGTGCCCACACCACTCGTCCTCCTCAGAAAATCAACAACTC